TTTAATTCTTCACACAGCTCACGTATCTTTTATTTGCACTTTTGCACACATTATTACAAATATTAAACACATATTTTTTTTGTGTCAGTCAATATGATTTGGTTTATGATACTACTTTTTTATTTGTCCTTTCAAAAATTCTCTATTAGCAAATGCAAAACTTAAAAACACTAGATATATTTAATATCATGTTTTTTTCAATTTTTTTTTTATAAAATACTTGCAAATAATTGGTAATAACTTTCGTTAATTGATTAAACAATTTTCTATAAAAATATTCATTGTATACTTTATTTAATTATTTCAAGATATAAGATGTAAACGTAAGTTTAAAAAAATATATTTTTTTCTATGTTACAAACTTCTTAGCATCTCTGTGCAACTTTATATTTCGTGTTTCGAAGAATACTCTATTTGAACAAGAAGTGTTAATTAGAACATCAATTATTTCCTCTATTGCCAAGAATACCATATTTAGTGTAGATTTTAACGTTATTATTATACCTTTCTTCTAATTTAATGTAGAAAGTGTTAAGTCTTCTGCAATATACTGAAGATATTTTTTTTATTAATAATGACAGCTAATGTATGTGCGATATGCCGGAACACACAATAAATGTGATTTGTTGTAACAAACCGTTAAATGGAAATCATTTGCATTTAAGTACGTTGTACTTATTTATCACTGCTTGTATATTACGTAAACTCCACTTTGAACTTACCGACGTTTACATAACGTTGTATAGAAAACTAACTTTAAATCTTAGATCTATATGAATTCAAATGCTCTATTTTCAATAGAATTGGGGGACAGGAAAGGGAAATCCGTTTGTTGTTAATGTAAAAAATGTATAATTTACAGATGTGTGCTTTTTTATGATTAATATTATCATTTAATTTTAATAGATATCCACAAACATACATAAAATCTCTAAAATAAATTATAAAATGAGATTTTATAAAAAATTCTTCACTTTGAATATTGAATAAATATCTAATATCTTCAATGCATGAAAATTATGTTTAAATTGACAATCAGTTCTAAACATTCTTAACTTTATACCTAATTTAAAACTTATAGTTTTTTCTTAATTTATTAATAAAACAGTTAATAATTCAAATTGTATTGCTTGCTTTCTATAATTGGTTAGTTAATATTAACAATAATAGATAGTAGTTTTATTTTTCAAATTGAAACATCTAAAATATTGATTATGATAAACAATATAGTTTTAAATAATATTTTATATATTAATAATTTAGTAACGTAAATTTTAAAGTTATTTATTTTAGAACTTATTTATTTAGAATTAAAATTATATTGCTTAGTTTATATTATTAGAGCAGAATGAGCTAGTATATTAAAGTAGCATTAGATCCTAGAAGATTTTTTCCATGTGAAACATATAAAATTCTATTCATCAAAATCGTTGAAGATAATTTAGAATATCTTTTTTCCCTAGTCTTTGCTGATGTGGTTTTTGTCCTATTGGACTTGTTCCATGATGACATGTTGTATGCGTAATACAAACTGATGGATATCTCAAATAATTATGATATTATCGATAACACAGCATTAATGATCACTTCATTATAGTTTCTGGTAAATTTAAAGTATTTTAAAGCGTAATTGTCTGATTATTATGCTACTCTCGTTATCATCAAGTGGATAGGAATTAATAATATTTAATTGACAGGAACTGTATGAAAAGCTAAATAGTAGTAAAGTTATTAAAAATATAATAATATCAAGTATTTAGGTCAGTGTTTTTCAACCTTTTGATGTTGAAACTGTTGAAAATCATTGATATAATAGTTGATATATTCCCGACTTAACCAAGCATGCTTGATTTAGCGCGAAAGTTTTGTATGTGTACAGCAAATATAGAAATTTGTTCCAATGAGGGTCGATCTAATGTAAGGATTATATAAAGAAGTACCAGGAATTGCTGCATTCGCTGCTTAATTCTTAAATCTAAATATTAGTATTATTTTGGTATACTTTCGGCGTTTAATTGCACAGTAAATATAGTCGTGTGTCCATCTAATTATGTAATTTGTATCACTAGTGCTTGTTTTAAGTAAAACAAAAATAGTTTAGTATCTTCAAATTTGAAATAGAGTTCCTTGTTTCTATCATTGATCAAGTGATAGTTGGCACTAATTAAGCTAATTCACGTAGTTCAATATAATTATAGATTTTGTAAGTTTATAATGTGTTTCCTTTGATTCGTAGGGATTGAACTTGGAGGGAACCAGCGTTACCTCTAACGGGGTCCAAAATGGCATGTCGAACAATAACAACAACAGCAGCAGCGGTGATCAGAACAACGAGAGGTTGAAGCCGAGCGACGGGAACGCGCTGCAGGTGCAGGAGCGCAAGGACCCCGATGGCAAGGATGACGACAGACAGACGGAGGAGATGATCGAATGCCAAAACGAGAAGACTTACACGACAGACGTGAATGGTAAAGTGACTGTGGTGCATGTCGTAGTTACAATAAACGGAAATGGAACGTTGGCAGATTTGAAAAAGCAACGGATGCAAATACGCAACAGTAGCGCAACGGACGTGAACTCCCTGAATTCCCCAGTGAGCACGATTTCCGATGGGGATTCAATGGTGAGCCAACAGGCAACGAACGCCGACATCGTCAAGTTCACCACAGACGAGATCGTCGGCGCAGAAAAGCCGAGGAAATGCTGTGTTATCCAATGATCCAATGATTATCAGTATTTTCGGTTTCTCTTCCTATATACATATATATCATTATTATTATCCACTCGGCGATGTTATCCATATGAAAAGTTTAAGTCTGAATACTATTCCTTTATTTTCTTCCCCCTTTTTGTTTTAAATAATAAAATACCCTCTTTTATTTTTCTTTTACCTACATATTAAGAAAGCAGCATCATCGTACATTTTTAATAGCACCTAATCTATAAAAAAAATCATTTCTTTTAGATGTAAATTAACACATTCCAAGAATGTGATAAACTTTAGCTTTTATTTACTATTATTATTATTATTGCAATTACGTTTTAGCGTTTACGTGTATATTGAGATATTTTTTTTTGTTTGTTGTAAATAATTGTTTCTTTTTTTTAAATTAATATTATTTATTGCACCCAGAAACGTTAGTAATATTATTATGATAAAAGCAATAATTATTTCTACGTTCGTTTCCGGGCTGTACGTTACTTATTATATTCGTCGTTATGTTTATGTAATAACCGATCAACAGACGATTTGATTACACCCACCTTACTACGATTATTATTATAATTATTGCTATTGTTTTTGTGTTTATTTTGTTTGTAAAGTGTTAGTTGCTACAATATACCGACTCACTCTCGCGTATTTGTTTTTATCCTATTTTTTTTAATTATTACGAAGCAAAAGACATTGTAAATTATGATTTGTTTTTTTTTAAATTTGTATTCGTATGTTATTACTTTTTTATGAAGAAAAGAAGAATCTATAGGAAATTATTATTCATAATCGAAATGAAATAAACAATACACTTCACAATATAAATATATGTTTGTTTATTTATTTATTTATTGTTATCCAGTTTCCAATTCCAATCTTTTTTAATGAAACGAGAAACTAAAGTGTAAATATTATTGTTAATAAATGTGTTGTTGAATAAATGCATTATTATTATTATTTATAATATTCAACTCACTTTAGGAACTTAAATCAATTTTGCATAAAATAAATACCGACTGAATATTAACATTTAAACTATTATTGTTTTACTTTTCTTTTAGTAAAATAACAATAAATGCATCATTAAAGATTTAACAGAAGTTATTGAGTATCTTCTACTCTTCTATTTTCATTAGTATTTTATTTAATAACAACATTTAAATCAGATGCAGAATCATCAAATTTATTGAAAAAACATATTAAAGAAAATTAAATAAATTAATTGCATTAAAAACACACTATGAACGAATTACATAACAGTAACATCAGTTGTTTTCCGTGAATTACTCTGGATTGATTAAATGAACATCCTTTATAATACCGATGACTCGAACTTGAAAGTTCAATAGGGCAAATCGAAATTGGATATTACCTATAAATACATGAATATTATAACCAGGGATTTTATCTCCCATGAGAATCTCATTGCAATAAGTTGGAGATTGAGAAACTTATTCCTATATGTTATTCACTCATGTGAAACAAATCTATATTGAAACGATATATTTTAATAAGTAATCTTGATTAAAAACTTGATTTGTATGTTTTAATCAAAAACTTATTCTTAACGATAATCACAGTCAATAATCGTTTAGAATTACAAAACCAAAAGTTTAAAAAATTAAACTAAAGTAGATCTTATTACTATAATATTGTTTATCAGTTTCTAATTACATTAATGTAATCTGAAGATTCTGAAACTATTAGTTCATGTATCAATTATTAGACTTAACAAAAACTAAATTAAATTTTACAATTTATATATTTCAAAGTCATCTTAAGTATATTTTAAAACTAACTTATTTTCTAAATACAATAAGATTACTTCAATTTTAACTAAACTTTATTATTTAATTTTGAAAACTAGAACTAATGTTGTGTTAGTTTTCTTATAGAGTTGACCGGATTTTCTAATGTACTGTCTCTAAATTGTAATATATTTTGTTCACGTTTATTTCCATTGCGGTGAGTTAATAATCTAGAAGCAAAACTAGAGCAACTGGGAAATTACATTTAAAATTAAATATAATAAAGTCTCGTGATTGCACAAAAGGAAAGAAATATCGTAAAACGGAAGCTCCACACTTTCGAAATAACTTTGTTGAATGGATGAATCGATGGATTTAGAACCAAATGAACTCCTATCGCCGCTCGAAAACTAATAACGAAGGCCCTTTTCGTCGAACCGACATTATTTATACTGCACACGGGTAATCCAATTTTAGGGGAGTTTCACGGCCCGTGTGATTACGCAACGAACGGAAGAGATAGAGAGGGTGAGAGAGCTTTGCAAATATTGATAATATAATAAACTCAGATAGACGTAACATCGGATAGGACTTTATCAGGTATTTAATAAAGACTGCCGTTTCGGGTAGTTATGAAAAACGATGCAAAAAATGCATTTTGATGAAATTGTTGGAAGTATGCAAAAAGTGCGGATGGAAATATGTAACATTTAAACGAGGAAACGGGAATTCCATGGATAGTCCAGAAGCGTCAAATAATGCGCAATGCTGAAAATGAATTGCAAATAAACGTATTCAGTCAGGCACGTCGTGGGGATTTCACCTAGGCTTTGGAAGGCTCCCATGGCACATATTTTATGTTACTACCGTTTTATGATTTATTCCTAAATCCTTTTAAATGTATTTTTATTCTTGAAAAATACTTTTCACAAAAATGCACCATTGTTATACAAAACGCGCAAATCTATCTTCCTATTAAACTATTGATGTTTACCAATATATTATTTATATAATATAATATTTCATATTAAAAATTCTTGTAATTTATTAATGCATCATTCATTGTTATATTCAATTGTAGTAAAAAAAATATTAATCACATGTTGTAAATCCAACATTTATTAGATATGCAATTTATATGAATTTTAAATATTATGAATATAAATGTTGCATATGCATTTAAAGTTGCCTAGACTTGTTCAAACGTTATCAAGTAAAATTTGCTGCTTAACTCTTTGATGGATATTGGGACGCTCTTTTTGCCACCTTTTTAATTATATAAATATCCAGTAAAGAGTAATTACCACCTTTTAATCAGAAAATTTATTAAAATTATGCATATATTTTGTGATGCAAATCAATTTTTATTATTATTAATAAAATTTACAAAAAAATTTATTTGTCTGGTCCCACTTCGGTTTAGAAATTTCTGGCCTTTTAAAGAGTTAATTAAAACTGTAAAATTATACTTCATATAAATATTACTTTTTTTATATCGTTTTTGTCTTCAGATTAATTTTCAGTCCAAATAATTCAAATTGAAAAATTCCTTTGTACTGGATTTCTATTATTAAAGCAATTGTCTTTACTTTATTTATTAGGTCTTTAATAGAACAACAACATTGTTTTAATTTTGAAAATTGATATTATTTGATACATTTATTCCATGTTTTTTTTCCTAGTAAAATAAATAAACCATCTTAATAAGATCAAGACAAACATTAAAAATAACATTTTGAAGGTTTATTGCTAAAACTAGTGAACATATGTTTGTTATAATTAATGTATTTGGAATTAATATTATAATCTACTGTTTTTATTAACTAAAGAGATTTAAATCTATTTCTTATTGATATAAATCTCTTTGGTCCTTTTTCTACCCCCTATTAATTATAATTGCGTTATTGCAGTTATGTCAAAAGATATGCGATAGAAGAAAAAAAATACAAATCTAAAATAAATCGAATTTTCAACTTTCATATCTTATCACATGATTATTCACCAGATTCTGGCTTTGATGCAAGATGAAAGAGAAAGAGAAAGTTGAGAAACGCTGCAATAGTTAATAATTTAAACTTATTAACTTAAGTTATGTAATTTTATATTATGAAGTAATATACTAAATATAAACTAATACAGCTAAAATTAAATAAATAAATAACAATATATAATCTATTATGAACGCAATTGAATGTTTATGTTTTACAATTATTGTATTGTTTGCGTTTAAATTAATTTAAAAAAAAACGAACTGATAAAGTAAAGCTCTATATTTCTGTAAACATATAATGCGATTATGTAGGTTTTTATTAAGTAATGAAAAATCGAAAGATGATTAATGTCTGAATGGATGCAAGCGTAAATAAAACCTTGGTTTGAAGTAAATCCATGTTAGACTTAATGATGCGTTCTCGTGTGAGATAATAATGTTACAAGGATCTCTTTTTATTTCCTTCATCTGCTCAGAGACATTTTTCCCTTCTCACCTCATTACTTGCTGGCAACAGCGGATATAAAATCATCAAAACTGCGCGCAAAATAAATGGTCATTATTGCATCAGCGCTACTTCTCATGCACTAAACACAATTACGTTATTGTGCATTATTGCTGAAGCGGATTAATGTTATCCTTTTTACCTAAAATTGACAAAGCTTTTCGGTTTTGCACGTGGATGAATTAGAGAATTAAATAATTGTTTTTGTACTGTTCATTTCCAAAATTGTATTGTAATGACGTCGATTTGTCTTTGTTTAATTGAAGATTACTGCAGTAATGTTATCATTGTGCAAACTAATAATATTATTTATATTTCTAAAACTGTAATAATACACACTCATGTTACAAAAATTGATAAATTTATAAATATTATTAAAATAAATAAATGAAAATAATTGTTGTGTACGTTTTTTATTATTCGGATATATTTTTGGATCGGATTAACGGATTGTCAATATTATTAGTTTAATTAATTTTTTTATTATAACAAATTCAGTATATCTGAAGTGGAATTATTACTAGTTGAAAAAAAAATTGGTTCTTATTATATTATAATTTTATAGATGAATTATGTTTGACTCTTTAACTTTTATTATCTATCACAACTAAATTATTATGATAGTTGCTAAAAGTTAAAGTTTCAGTGTCTTTAGTTATATAAAAATAATAATTTGACTAATAAATTATAGAATTATCGCTGAAGCAATACGCAAATTGCGGTTGATATATTTCCACCAACATTTTATTATCGTTAAATATAAAAAAAACCATTTTAATAATTAAGAAGTGAGAAATAGAAATGAAAAACAAAAATAAGTTTTTATGGCCAAGTATTCTCAATTGATAAAATTTTATTTAATTTTTCATTAATATTTTGTAATAATAATTATATGTTCGACTATAAACATGATATAAACTATAAAGCAATTTTTGTAATTATTAAGAAATGCTGGAAGAGGTCAAATAATTCATGGTGAAAGCATGTCAACGTTAATAATACGGTTCAATTAAAAGGAAACTTTTCAGAGTCAACTTTCTTATTGATTGCTGGATATTTTCATTAACAAACATTATTATCATTATTACAAAACAATAGTTTGAATATTTTAAATTTATTATTTATTTTCTGAAACCTTAATTATAAAATTAAATTAAAATTTAATTAAAAAATAATACATACATAATGATAATTTTCCATAACTATTTACAAAGGTGTTGAAAACGATAAGAAATACCTCATTTACTAAAAAAACATTTTTTTTGAAAATTAAGTATTTGTTATATAATCGTTTTAGATTGAAATCTATAGGCCGGATTGAAACTGTATTAGCGACAAGAATATTACAAGGATATCTACAGCACCGTCGGACACTTAAGTTCAAGGATGAAAACCTCTTCTGGAATTGGTATTCAACGGAACGCTCGATTGTTATTTCCTAATTACAGGAATCGGCTATAATTTTTCTTCCCAAAGAAAGAATCTCTTGCATTCCACTTAAATGGACGTGTACACCTCTATTCTATTCCGCCAATGGAATTGCAACGATCCATCAGAATACTTGAAAAACAAGCTCTTCTCGAGATATTTTTTAATAACGTCCGCAGATTATGCGATCGACCTCTCGAAAACCAATCAATAATGGAACAGACACACTTCCCTTCTGCAAGCGCTCTTTATTATCAAGTGGCGTTTTTTAAATTGCCATTGATAAAGCCACTGCATTAGATTTGGGTCAAGATCAAAACTGCGTTTGTATATAAAAAAATGTTATTGACCATGAACCTCTTGTTTTCTCCTATTTCTATAAATATTACTTTAGATAAAGATTAGCATCCGCAATTTTTCGGGTCAACAACTCTTAGAAGAGCTAATTTACTCTTCGGGAAATACAAAAACTACGTCTTGAAACGACCATTAATCCATATATAAAATAGATTGGTGTCAGGCTGTAACAAGTTTTTTTTTTTTCATTTTAAATTACATTTGCGCACGAGAGATGACCATCCAGTTGTCTTATTCAAACTCGAGACGATGTTGCATCATCCTTTTTCCGTTGCGGTACAAAAGGCAGAGCAATTGCACGTAACTGGTCCTTTGTTGCGGATTTTTTTTGTCGCTTGCATTATTTTCGTTACCTTTTTTTTATTTTCAGATGACCGAAGTATCATGAGAAAGGTTATCGCACAACAAAATGAGTAACAATTGCTTTATTTTCGAGCGTTACGCGTCTACTCGAAGCTTAACTGTGTAACGAGTGGATGGTAGTAGGGTTAAGAAAATTGGCTGAGATAATGCGAATGTTAAAAGTGAAGCGACAACCAAAGTTTGGTCATTCCACTCTTGGACATACGTCTGATCACTCCACAGTACACTTGTTCCTTGCATCCAATATTTTTCGTTTGAGGTAAGTGGGGGAGCGCTTCTAACAATAATCAAACAACAACAATAACAAAATGCGTAACAAATTCAATCTGGTTTCGTGCGCGATCTGGGCTTGAGCTTGTGCGCGTTTATTGATTCCCTCTTTAAATAGAATACAAATTTTCATTGTAACTTTATATGGGTTCCATTCAAGCACGGTAAGACAATTGCAACACTTAATTAATTTTACTACACTCGCTTCAATCAAATTAAAATCTAATGTAGTTACATTTTATGACACACAATATTATTTAATTGGAGTACATCCATCTTCCAAACTTGATAATTAAACTAAATGTTAATTACATAAACAGATTTATCCGTAAAAATAATATAATCAACAACATTATTGCAATTAATTATGTGATATATGTATTCCAATTAATTAATGTAATTCGCACAAAATTCACACAATTAGCTTTTAATTAAATGATTTGTATATTACAAAAAACAATTAATTTACCAAATTTAATAGAAATATTGGATTTCTATTTTTTTTAATACAATTTGTGTTTATGATGTGATTACAATTATTATTCATAATTTATATTAGTTATATCCGTAAATGATTACGAATAATTCATGAGTAATATACTAATAAATGAAAAATGTAAGTTATATAAATATAATTTTTTAAAGTTTTGTTTATTAATTTAATTATAACAATTTTTTTAAAATGAACAAAAAAATTGTGTATGAAATTAATGAATTTTTGTTTCACCTTCATGTTTGTTTTCATAAATAAATAAATAATAAACATAAAGTTCAACTGAGTATCAATCACAAAGCGAAATAAACGTAATAAAAAACAAAATCAAAACAAAATAATTATCTGCAGTCAATGTAAATAAACACAAGATAGGTCAATCAGCTAATTTTTTTGTATATGTTTTGTATTTGATTTGATATTACAACAATAGTCATTAAATTACGAAACAATCTATAATCTATTCAAATTAAACAATAATATTGCAAACTTTTTATATCAATATTTATACACCAGCGAAAATTTAAAAACAAAGAAAAGTTTATAATTAAATCTAAATAATGTATAAATATTGTTTTAATAAACACCAGAAGAGTTTTCAAAACTTTTAATTAACTAATTACCATAAATCTCTAGCAGAATATAATACACGAATGAAGTATATGAAGAACGATATAAAGTTTAAATTGTAAATCATTTCATTCCTTACAAAAAAAATGAATAAATATACAAAAAAAATAGAAAATAGAATTATAGAAATAATAGACTAGAATATATACAAAATATAATATACAGGTATCTCCCGACTCACCAACTAACTCCATTCCAAAAGGTTGTTCGTAAGCCGAATTTGTTCGTAAAGTGGAATTTAAAAAAATTCAAAATATACTTATCTTACCATACTTGGTTTTTACTTTTATATATGTTAATTTCTGTATTACTGACTGCATAAATTTGAAAAAATAGATTCAAATAAACAAAATATTTACTTACAAATACTTTTCAATGTAGACATCACAATTATTTAATAAAAAACGACAAAAGAAACAAAGCAACAAAAGAGATAGTACATCTTTCAAAAATATTATATTTTATTAACGAAATTATCATTTGGACAGTTATTTTTTTTATCACTATATATCTCTTTGTAAGGAGTGAGCTTTGAGAATTTTGTTCGTAAGTCGGAGGATACCTGTATATTTTATTTCAAGAAAGGTTAATTTTTTTATAGTTATAAACTATAATTGTTATAATAAATAATATAATTGTATGCCTACTTATTATAATTAATTTGTTTTTCTATGTCAATGAAATAATTATATTTAAATATGAAAAATTAGTTTACTGTAGTTTTTACAAAGAAATCATTCAATAAAATCAAACTATATAAATACAATTTATAACCGAACTAAAGACAATAAATTTAATATTTCGCTGTTAAACTGCGCCGAAGACACGGGTTGTCTTCGGCCTGATTACATAATGGAGTTCCACAGGTCGATACGAAAATGGTTACGAAGCCGAAGCGCGATCATTTTATTGTCTTATTTAACAAGAGAACCGGAAAATTGAGTTAAATTACCAGACGTGTAAAAACCTGAAAGGTCGAACTCGAGGCCGAATAAATCTTCTTTTCGCCCATAGAAATCACCTGTTCCGAAGGGCATCATCGATTTGAATAATTTTTAGAGTTGCAAATTACATTACGCAGTACTTTAATGTATGTATATGCAAATTCGCATGAACGATTCTGTTCGGCGCGATCAATTTTTAACTTCGAACAAGACATTTTTTATTACAAATTCGTATTATAAAAAAAATCTATACATTATATTGTAGTTTTGCTATAAAATATTTGAATCGTGACAAAATTATTTGTAAAGCAAATGTGAGTATAACGAAAATATTGCGTTTTTATTAAATATTATTTAATTATGAGTTTGGATGTAATTTTGTCTCCTCTATCTGTACAGTTATTGACTTGCAGAGGAGATATTGGTGTACGTGATAAAAGCCACCTAAACGCACAATGGGAATCAGTGTAACTCAAAACGTATGGTTGCTTCGAGTTGGTAGAACGCATCTACGAAAATCAGAAAAAGAAAGGAAATAAGCGGTTTTCCTGGCTCATCATAAATCCGTTGACGACAATAAT